CAAACCTTCAACCCTAAACCCGATCCCTGCACCCTGAACCCCATATCTCAACTAAAAGTCCAACGGCTGGCACAGAGAGCCTAAAAGGTTTCTGCAAAGGTATGAGCCTCTCTGCAAGAGTTTCTACAATTCCTGAGCCAAACTAAAACCCCTAAGCCTAATCATGCCACCCGTACCGCCCAAACCAAAAACCCTAAAGCCGAACGCCCTTCTAGAAGCCTTCAACAAGCAGCATCACATAATCTCTGGCCCTTTAGAAAGTTAACCTCTTATCCTCTTGCAATCCTGTCTGAAGCCGTACATGCTTGTACTAGCATACCACGTAGTATAAAGCCCCCCCAGAAACTTTCCACTTTTTCGAGTTGTCACCAGGCGCCGCCCCAGGAGCGCACCGACCTTTTCCGCAAGAAGATGGAGGCCGAAAGTAGAAGGGGCCTAATCAATTCGACTCGGGTTGTTGGAGTAGATTAGAGTAGTTTCTATGTTTTGTAATAAGGAACCTGAAGCAATAATGTCGCCAATGATTCAGGTTTTTATATTAATTACCGGTATCTGAGTTCCTGCAGGATCCGTGGGGGTTTACGGTTTACATAGGTCTTAGGGCTGTGGGTTTAGAGTGTTCACGGTTTGGGGGTTCATTCCTAACTGCGCAGAGGCTTCGGGCTTTGAGATTTTATTGTTTTGGGACGACTAGCATTCCTGTTCAGGCTAGACTCCTAACCCCTAAACCCGACTTTGGGCCGCGAACTCTGCGGGGTCTTGGGTTTACCATAGGGGCCATATTATTGTGGAGGTTCCTTAGCATAATTACAGCATAATGGGCCCCAAACCTCTATTCTAATTTTTAAGGTCCCTATGTTAGGGTGCAGGAATGACGGCTGAGGGGCTCAACGCTGTTGGATCGAGCTTTCTAGCCATCTCGGTAGTTGTTCTAGGTAAGCCTACGAACGGAAAGGCGGAGTTGGACTTTTCTAACCATGGAGTTCCTGGTAAGGTGGGGGTATAGTGGTCGTGTGGGTGGCAGGTTCAGGTGGAGAGGCTGTTTATGGGCTGCAGTTGGAGAGTCCGCTTTGTTGGTTTCAGGTGTCGATTTTGGTGTTGAGGCTCGAGGGCCTGTAGTTTGGGCCCCCATGCACCTCCGCAGCCCTCAGGTGTGCTCTGTCGTTTTTGACTTTCACAATGACAACAACCAGAAGGCTGCGAGCGGTGGGGACGAGATTCGAAGGCTTAGGATTCCAGGTAAGGGTATTAAATTACTTAGAGGCACTTGGAAACAACTTGAACTGTAATCCCGAAAAAGCAGCTAGATTTCTTCATACCGTAAAGATGTGCAAGGCCCATATCCCGGGAGCTTGCCTAAACCACGGAAGGGTTTCGCGATGTTTAAGGGGATGGATTCATAGGGTGTGCACTGGGGCCTGCAATGCTCCGCACAGAGGCCGCAGGGCCATGGGGTTTTGTGTGGGGGTTTAGGATTCAGTTCGATCGTCTGGAATCAGAAACATCCATCGCGAGGTGGCCGCGAAGTCCCGATGCAAGGGTTTACCCATAGGCATCCCATAGGCCCCACAGTAGTTCCTCTTCTGGGTTCATGTTCAGAATCCTATAAGGTAATCCCAAAAAGGAACTACTATGGGGCCTATGGTTTAAGCATAGTTTAGCCAGTGTTCGCATCTTTTCTGACGCGGTGGCTGCTTGTCGGTCAACACCAAAAGCCCGCAACCCTGTGCTTGAGGGGTGCTTAGTGATGATCGCTCCATATTGCTTAGCGAACGGGGTTACGGGTTGAGAGTTCGGGGCTTGTTCAGCTGTAACTAATTGGGATTTTAGTTTTTTTGCGCGGGGTTTAGGGCTTATTTTTTCGGGTGGTGGTCGAACGGTGTGTCGTACGTCTCGATGCCAGTCCCTTGCGAGGAAGCCAAAAAGTCGCCTAAACCCTGAAAATTGGGAGTAGGGTTCGCGAGCGGTCGTCTGAGTGCTGCCAGAATCCCCTATACCCCCCAGCCCCGTTGCAGGAGAAGGAGGCCAAGCGCCAGACACTGTTGGAAATCGTGGAGTGCCGCCGGCGGTGAAAAGCCATAATATGAGGCGCTAGTTTAGGGTAGATGCTAGGATCGCTTGGCCGATGGCCGACATCAGCTCAACCGTGTAGCCTAAGCCCCCAATCCCATGTTGATAGTGTTAGAGTTCAGAGTTTTGGTGCGGGGGCAAAAGCGGCCCCTTAAACCCTAAATCCTAAACCCACTGCTCCCGCAGGTACGTCAACAATACACGCAACTGCTTCAACGAAGCACTGATGCAACTGTGCTGCAGCTTAGAATTTAGAAGGTTTGATGGTAGTGCTAGTGGTGCTGGTAGTGAGGTAGCACTAGTAGTAGCAGCAGCAGCAGCAGCAGCAGCAGCAGCAGGAGCAGCTCCTGTTTGAGGTAGTTGTAGTTGCAGCAGTCATGATGGCGGTGAAGTTGAGGTCAGGCAGTTGTAACAACAGTCTCAGCAGCAAGCAGCTTCGATGGATTCGGATCAGGAAATTAGGGCAAGCCGGTATAGACCAGCCATAGTTGGATCCTGATGATAATGCCTGAAAATCTCCCATTCAATCTGGAAAGGACCGCCACCCCCATGCCCCGCCCCCCACCCCTCCCCCCAGCCCTGCTGCGAGCAGCCAAGGCAAGATGTGGTCAGCATGGCCTGCGACTGAGAAACCTCTTTACGACAATACTGTAGTTCTAGTAAGGAGCACCCAAAATATTTGCCCCCTTATTATCATTATCGTACTATATTCTCGTAAACCCTATTCTAATTATTCAGGCCCCTATGCAGTACCCTTATCGATCCCTTATAGATCCCTTAAATAAAATAAAAGGAATCCTTTGCAGTATGAAAGGGAGGCCTATTCTAATTGTCAGTGCCCCTGAATTAGTCCGAAGCGTGGTAGGACAGGATATTAACTACGGGTCGACAAGGCGCAGCAAGTGACAGGCACCGTAGAAATAGATCAGAACCCTTAACCGAACCTTAAACCCCTACTTTTTAAAACCCCTAAACCCCTTACCCCTAAACCCCAAATCCCCAAACCCCTAAACCCCTAAGCCCCTAAACCCCTAAACTCCTAAACCAAGCCCTTGTGTGGTCTAGAACAAATGTGTCGGCCTAGCTTCGTCTCGCTGAGGTCGGGGCGAACATCTTCCGAGCCCTGCAGACGCGGAACAAGGAGATGCTTACCTTGGGTTAGTAGGGATGGACAACAGACCAAGGTGATTTTGGTAGTTCAAGCTAGAGCCCTAAACCTGATCTTTGAAACCCCAAACCGTGCACTAACCCCAATTCCGAAGCATCCCAATCCACGAGTCATGTAAGCATAAAGCTTAACACGAATCTGCAGGATCCGCTGGCATTCTCCGACCCGGAAGATGTCTCGCTCTTGGATTTTGGTCGCCGGGGATTGGGGTTTTAGGGTTTTGGGTCCATAGGGTTTAGGGTTTTCGGCGCAGGGTTTGGGTCTATAGAGTTTTGGGTCTAGGATTTTGGTGTTAAGGTTTTTGTTCTAGGGTTTAGGGTTAAGGAGCATGATTTAGATAGAGGCTGGGGTCTAGGCACGAGGAAAGGTTTTAGGGGGGCCTTATAGCAATCGTATCACCTTCTAGTCCCTATGTAACGATAGACGAGAGTATAATATACCCAACGGCTCTCTATTCTAGCTATTCAGACTTTTTGCTCCTGCTAAAGAGCTCGTATTTACATGGTGTTCCAATGTTTGGGGCTGTCTGGGGTTTCGTGATTCTGAGTCTTGCTTGTGGCATATTCAAGAATTGTGGTTTAGGGTTTTAGGGTAGAAAGTGTAGGATGTAGGGCCTAGGGCTTTGGTCTGAGGGGTTTTACGATAGAGGGTCTCGGGTTTGGGGAACATAAAGCTGAACCATCGAGTGCTACGCCTACATTGCATCACACGAGTTGAATCAACGGTTTATTGGTTGTAGAATAGTTGTGACAGCGCCAGCAGCCACTAGCTCAACTACCGCAGACTTGGAGAGGAAGCAAAATCCTAGAGCTCTCACTGCTAAAATCCTAAACCCTAGCCTCAAACCCTCACCGCCAACCCAAAGCACACACTCCCCAAAGCTGACACCCCAAATCCTAAAGATCAAAACCCTAAACCCCCAAGCCCAACTTCAACCCCCCCCCCAACCCTGAATCCCAACACCCTACGTCCAAAACCACGGAGTTTGAATCCCCAAGCTGGCAAGCGCCCCGAATGCTGAATAATCTCAGAAATCTGGTACCATCCAAAAGCCACAACTCCGAACCTCCACTCTTGGCGGATTGGAAAATAGGCGCTCAAAAACAAAACAACCTCAAATCTTAACAACCCAAAGCCGCCACTTCCGAGGATGAGCCCTCTCTTGAGAGAGCCTGGCCTCATTTGCAGCTTGGCGTTGTGAAGGACCCTCTACCCTACTTGGAGGTTCATGTGGCGTTATAGGGCCCCTAAGTTAGGTTATAAGTATAGTTGCCCTACTTATACATAACCCTACGCATAACTACCCCCGAACCTCCAAGTAAGGCTCCGGGACCCTTGCAGTGAGATCCCAAACCCCAGGCCCCCTGCAGGAAAAAAATGACCCACGTAGGAGTCGTAGGGTATGTTCCCAGAAATCGTCTTCCGCGCCCAGAGCCCGGACCGCGTTCAAACCATCCCGGCTCTGTAGCATTCTCTTTTCACCAACTCGTCCTGAGAAGTGACGTTCTAAAGCTGTCTGTGGTCCTGATGCAAGTCGGAGCTAAATCGGAAAATCTGAATTTTGCTTGCTTGGCTTACGAGATCTCCGTAATCATACACAATGCAACCCCAGGCGCACACCCACTTCAAGGATTGAGAGCAGCAACAAGTTTCGCGGATGAGAGAGTGTTACAAAGTTTGTAGCTTGCCATGGCCCGGAGGTTAAATGAAAGTAAACGATCTGGTCAGGAACCCTGCTCAGAAAATCAGCTGCTTGGCTGAGGCAGATCGTGTACGAGTTTTTCTTGCGTTTCGTCGTCTCGAACGATGTGGATCCGAAGATCGCACCTGCCTCGGCATGAACACACTGCCCGGTTTCATTCAGCGCGCTTAGCTTTGGAGTCTAGAGCTTCCCTAGACTTAACTTGACCTATCTTACAGTCTCTTTCTGTCCGGATTGATGCAATCCGCCAACGTTCCGTTGAGATAAGCATCCAGTCACCCTAAACCCCGAACCCTAAACCCCAGATCCTTAACCCTCGAGTTGCTTATTCACCACTGAGGCTTGACCCTTACTACTGAAACGCTTAGACAGCAAAAGCAACGGAAGCAGCCAGCACACCTCATACCATAATGTTCTCCTCAACCCCTGAACCCTAAAGCCTAAGTGGGAGTTTCCGAAAATATGGGACCCTAATATAGTACCCTTTATAGCGGGATCCTTAAAAAAAGGCCCCCAGAATATGGTACCCCTAATTCCGGAAACGCCCAAGTACCTAAACCCTAAACCCTAACCAGAGCCACTTTTCTGAGGCCAAGCGCTTCGTCGACCAGAACTTCATGCTTAAGCTCCTGGAGCTGTTCGACTCTGAGGCCTTCAGGGCTTAGGTACTTATAGGTATTTAGGGTTTAGGATTCAGGGTTTAGGGTTTAGGGTCAGGTACTTATGTACCTTGGGTGGTTTAGGTACTTTGGGTTTAGGGTTTAGGGCAGTGTAGAGCAGGACAAGCAAGGGAATAGATTAAGCTTCATCCTGGCCAGTACTGGGGTCTTACACTAGGACCCAGAGTAGGCCCTTATTCCCTTTTTAAGGGTTTAGGTTCCCTTATAACCCCCTTTATCCCAAAAAGGGCACCCTTTTTATTCCTTGGTTACTCTTGGGTCTAGTACATATTGTACGATTTGATAGGGTTCTTCTAGGGCTCCTTGGGTTTCATATTGTTTGCTATTGGGCCCTAACGTTCCTTTTGATTACTTCGCACTAAAGATGTACATTTTTGTAGAGTAAGTAGAGTAGATCTCCACAGACATGAGAGCATTGCGGAAAGGCATAGTATGCGTAAGAACAGCAATAATACAGGTAACTGCAGCAGTGAAGATAAAGCAATCTAGGTTAAGAGTGCAACACTTGGCAGGAAACAGCTGGAACAGGCATTAACAGTCATGTCGTGACAAGAACCTCATATGTGGGTTTCAGTGAGTCTTGCGGATTTAGGAACACAAAAGCTCTGAACCCCTGTAGAAGTTCATGAGACGAAAACCCCGGAGATGGGATATCTTAGGGGTTCGGGCGTGGGCTGTGCATCTCGGGGTTTAGGGTTTGGGGTTCGAGCTTGGGGAAAGGGTCGAGGATGTCAAATTCTACCTAGTTCTTGAACATAACAGGTGTGCAAACCCATATGATCTCTCCCCTGTCTATCTCACTCACACTTTTCGTTGGTCTGTGGTCCTCAGGTCAAGCACACTACACTTAGAATGTGGTTGGCATGTGTGCAGATGTCTCAGAAGCCAGGAGCTGGCAGCAACCCAAATCCTAAAACAAAACCCAAATCCTAAACCCTAAACCCTAATCCTCAGCCCTAAACCCAACCCCTAAACCCAAATCCTAAACCCTAAACCCTAATCCTCAGCCCTAAACCCAACCCCTAAACACAAATCCTAAACCCTAAACCCTAATCCTCAGCCCTAAACCCAACCCCTAAACACAAATCCTAAACCCTAAACCCTAATCCTCAGCCCTAAACCCAACCCCTAAACACAAATCCTAAACCCTAAACCCTAATCCTCAGCCCTAAACCCAACCCCTAAACACAAATCCTAAACCCTAAACCCTAATCCTCAGCCCTAAACCCAACCCCTAAACACAAATCCTAAACCCTAAACCCTAATCCTCAGCCCTAAACCCAACCCCTAAACACAAATCCTAAACCCTAAACCCTAATCCTCAGCCCTAAACCCAACCCCTAAACACAAATCCTAAACCCTAAACCCTAATCCTCAGCCCTAAACCCAACCCCTAAACACAAATCCTAAACCCTAAACCCTAATCCTCAGCCCTAAACCCAACCCCTAAACACAAATCCTAAACCCTAAACCCTAATCCTAAACCCCAAGCAGGGCCTCCGCCTTGCCAGGATCCGCGTGAGCGGGACTATTTGAAGACGATTCTGCATCGCATCTACGGCCGGAGGGGGGGTTTAGGGGTTGAGGAGAGGTTGAGGGGTTTAGGGTTTCGGGGTCTCGGCCGGAGGGCGTTTTTCTGTGTAGTTCGGGCCTTTCGAGTTTAGGGTTCGGAGGCTGTGGAGGTAGGGGTTTCTGAAACACTATTATAGGAAGCCACTTACAGTAATCTTTATAGGAACCCTTTGATACGAAGCCTTGATAGTAACCCCTGCAAAGTCTCCGGAAGACAAGGCTAGGGCTGGAGCGATAGCTGCCGCAGGCAAGTTCATGGCTCTGCGGTCCTTCATACGCCGTGCAATTCAGCACGTCTTCTTCAAGGCCGGCCAGCGCATCTGCGACCGTTGAGGAAACTGCATCTCTGTAGAGAGCCCAATTCTCCTTAACTAAGGAATATCTAGCTTAGTGAAGCTCCTAGTAATTTCAGGTATATTCGTTAATAAGGGGTATTGGGCTCTCTGGGTCTGTAGCTGCTACACTGCTACACAGAGCCCACAACTGTTCTCGGAAAGGGGCCAAGTAGAGTAAGTTGACGAATGAGCAGGAAAAGGCACAGGGTACGCCAGGTCATCTACGAATCTGAGACTCACAACGGAGTCGGTGAGCTGCTTGAAATCTTGGGCAGCATTATCAACGGCAGCTCGTTCGCATTGGGGTGTAATCCTGGACATGCTACGGGGCATTGTGGCGAACTTATCTTGTTATGGCTTGCGCTGCAATGATGCTCGAATGAAGCAGATCTGCATGTACACTGTATAATCTCCTGCGCTGCCATTAGTGACAGATACAGCTGTTCCTGGCACATCAGTTCAACATTTCCCAGATTTTTGAAGTATGATTGCTGTAACATTCGTGTTCTTGGCGGTGGTGCTCACCGTGGTTTTCGTCTTGGGGTCGCGGGCCCGGGCCCATCCTTAGAAACCTTTAAGGAGGAAGCTAAGAAGGGCCTCATAAGTGAGCCGGAAGACGGGAAGCCCTGTAATGGCAACCCTGAGACAGGTGCGGTCTGTAGGGTCTGAAAACGGATTCTGGGCCGGATCCGATTTGGGAGTTTCCGAAAATAGAGGGGACCCTAATATGGTCCCCTAAGTTCCTTTTTATAAGGACCCCAAAATAAGGTACCCCCCTATTTTCGGAAACTCCCATTTCGAAACATGCCGACAGAGCTCTATCAGCGAAGGGCTGGAAGCTCTCAAATGGTTGAGTGCTGTAGCACTGAAGCACAGAGCTTAGCTGCAAACTGCTGTGGAAGCCCAAATCTCAAAGCCCACATGAAGACCCTCATAGGTATACTCTATACTTGCGGTAATACAGATCCCAATATTACCGCCTTTAAAGAACGGGGACTTGTTAAAAGTTGAACGGGTCTACATCAAGCTTCCAAAGTCTTGGCCACAACCACGAAAGCAACTAACCGGATGGTCGGAAAAACCTGACAGACAAGAACTCGAGCGCTGAATACCTGGTAGTGATATACCTAATGAGTTTTATGACCATGATAATGATAATGACAGTAAGAAGACTAAGACTAACCATATTCACAGTTCATAGGCTCGATGTAACCGTGCTTGGATGTTCACAAAGCCTGGTTCTACTTAAGGCTTCGGCAGTACCAAACAAAATCTAGAGCCCTAAACCCTAAACCCTACATCCGATTGGTCCGAGGCTTCGCGCTACCTTTGAAGGAAGAGCACAAAGACTTCCTGATCAAGTCTCTCATCCCACTGCACAAGGCCCCATTGGCTCTTAGGTCTCGGTTTAGGGTCCGATGATTTTGAGTTTAGCGTTTAGGGTGCGCAGGGCCGGGGTTGAGCCTTCTCGGGTTTACGGATCGGGCTTTGGGGTTTCGAGGTGGGGGGGGTGGGTGGGGGTGCTTTCATCAACGTGCAGAGGGTGGAACTCTACATTGCTACATCTTCAACCCTAAACCCTAAACAGTGGATGACAACATATTGGTTGTCAAAATTATAGTCCCGTCTTGGGTCCCTGTCACAATACTCCACCTATTGTAATTAGGGTACCCAAAAGGGACCTTAAGTTTGACAACTACCCATATGTAGTTCTCTCAGCTAGGGTCTCTTTCTTGATCCCCAAACCGCCCTTGTAAGAGGACCCTAAAAAGGACCCCCAATTTAGAGAACCACCATATGGCCTATGTGTCACGCTGTCATGCCCCCCGAAAACCCCTAAACCCCTAAACCCAAAAACCCTAAACCCCTCTGCATGACTCGCCGCTTGACAGGTGAAATCGCTGGCTTCGTTTTACCAGCAGCTTTCATACTGCATGGCCCAGTATGTTGAGAAGGACGCGCCTGCTGTCTAGGGTTTAGGGTTTAGGGGTCTGGTGTCGTGATGTTGTCAAGAGGATGCTTACTGCCTTGCCACTAGATTTCTTTTCTGCTTCTGCTCCTTACCAGTCGTTTTGGATCTTGCCGTTTGCAGCTTGCATAAATACAAGATACTGTGCAGCACTTCTCACCGGACTTGTAGAACTATCGCGTTGTGGACTTCCAGCTGCACACTCCCAAACAGTGGCGAGGTCAGCTCATGCGCAACGTGCTGCACCCGTAACCGCCTGGCATCCCGCCTTTAAAGCCTCCACATGCACTTGGCACAGCGCATTGGTGCCTGTGTGCCCATTTTCGCGCACCAGAGCACAAGGTTTGCTAACGCTTATACACCGTGTAGTTTACACCCCTAACACATCCTGGACCCACTTCCCAAGACCGTGGCTTCAGTTGTGATTTGAGATCTTTTCCTTGGGGCTTCAGGGGCTTCAGATTTCTGTCCACCACTAGATCCCAAGTGGTAGAGCTTCTTGGCTCCAGGACCCACGCCTGGCATACGACATCATCACTTCCATGTTGCGATATTGGCCCGTGGTGGCCTCAGGATCGTGGTCCGTCCTAGACGCTGGTAGTGTTCTTGGATCAATGTTCTTCATTGAGGGTTGGGGGCATGGGTTAAATAGGCCGACATCCTATCCTGTTCGGTGGGAACGAAATATGGATTTTTCAGGCGGCTAAGTGTCAGTGGTCGAAGCCGGAGAGATTCGATGAAGAACATGGGTTTGAATTTACCTACTACCAAGAGCACCCCTCAGTTCTCAGTGCGGTTCACTGTCTAATGATTTTCACCCGTGTCAGACGGAAGCCTGAGCGTTTCTGAGCTGCAGGTATCCATCACCTCTAAGCAGGTCTTGTTCCTCAATGAGCTCGAGGTGCCGACGACAACGAGTGATAGGTTGTATGCGGGGTGGTTTGGAAAGTTCGGACTCGTGGATCTATGGCCCGAAACCACAAGCTCTGGCCCCTCGACCGTATCCCCTAAACCAGAACCCTTAAATCTTACTTGGAGGTTCATGGGTAGTGATAAGTAGGGCTATAAGTAGAGTAGCTATACTTATAACCCATATCAAAAAACTTATAACCTCACTTAAAACTACCCATAAACCCTAAACCCTATACTTATACCCTTATAGAATCCCTATAGATCCCGTTAAAGGGACAAAGGAGCCCTTGTAGCTACCCATGAGCCTCCAAGTTACCCCTAACCCTACGTTCGAGCTTTTAAATCCTAGAACGTAAAGCCGAACCGAGCTGGGAACTTGGAGTGGGATGACTTAAAGAGAAACTCACTCAGGGTTTAGTAAGCCCCTTATGTTTTTTCGTTGATAAAACTGTATATAATGCATTGCCTACTAGATTTCTATGCAGAAATACCACGATGTAGGGTTTAGGGCAAACCACTGCAGCCAGCAGCACCATAGCAAACAGTTTGTACTGGACAGTGCAGCAAGTGAGTCAGTGGGCACTCAAGCCTCCAAAAGCAACTAAACGTTGTAGCTCATCGTGTTTGCCATACGGTCCCTGTTTCTGCATGTGGAACCCTTTGAAGTGATAATGCTGTGTTCGCTGGTGCTGTCTATCGTGGTTTCGAAACCTCCACTGTTATCAGCTGTCCTACCTCCTATGCCCAAACCCCACTAAACTGAAGGAAGCCTAAGCCCCCCAAGCCCTCAGCCCTAGTCAATCAAAATGGCCCGAACCCAAAGGGTCATAAGTGCCTGTATGGTAGAATGTAGGGTTTCCATGTTAGGAGTTGCTAGATGATCCGGGGAAGTATCGCCCATCGCACTAGCCTACAGGGCTTAAACAATTTACTACTATGATCTGGGGAAGTACCACCCATCACAGCAGCTAATACAGGGGCCTAAACAATTACCTGCACTATTTCGGGTGTCCCTTAATTAATAAGTATATTTTAAGATACCCCCCACCACCCCCCCCCCCCCCCAAAAAAAAAAAAAAAAAAAACCTAGTCTAATTATTAGGCCCCTATATTAAGACCCTTTGTGGAATGAATAGCCAGGGTCTACCTCGCAGGAGACGCTTGAACTGACCCAGCCGCCAGAGTTCCACCGCATGCAGGATGCTTCCTCTCAGAGGGTTCGCAGTTTAGGGCTTTAGGGTTTTCGGATTTAGGTTTTAGGGTGTGTGTGTGTGGGGCTCAGATTGAAGGGATTGTCCATAGAAGCTTGTGCTTGCGGAATTCTGCATACGTATGGCACACCATGGCCCAAAACATTCAACTTAGTTGTGTTTCAAGCGGGAGCTATCTTGTGGGCCTAGGGCTCGAAGGGGCTTTGGGTTTGTGGTTCAGGCTTGCTCGAGATTTACGCTACGGGGGTTCATTATTCGCAATGCGAAGAAGCATCCAGACCTTCAGTGTTAGTCAGAGCGAAGGTAAGGTTACGGGGTGCTAAAGTTTGTGGCGCATTCGCCGAAGGACGTCCTCTTCCGCCGCCTTGCGCTGTGCATCACCTGCCCCCACTTCCAGGCAGCACACCGGTTGTTTGGGAAATGGATTTCGTCATACACATTTGTGCATATACAGATACATACATACATATATATATATATATACATACATATATATATATATAAATATATATGGATGTATATATATATATACATATATATATATATATATATATATATATATTATACACATTATTACTTATATGCACGCCTACATCTCTCCCTCTCTCTCTCTCTATATATATGTATATCTGTATGCATACGTAGATATTTCTATGTACATATGTAGACATCTGTTTAGTCTGCAGTCCCGCTCGGAACCAGAATTTGGGAGTTGAGGTTCTTAGAGGTGGTGGGGTCAGGGTTTCGAAATGGACATGATCTTGCAGGTTTACGTGCGATCCGTCAGTATGCAAGTCTGACGGTTGGAGATAAAGATTTGTCAAATTTGATATCTATTCTTCCAGTTGTCTTCAGAAATGAGTGTACTGTGGTTCAGATACAGGCCGGCTCTCGTATTTGTTGTAAAGACCGTTTGCCTTTCTTTCGAAGCTTGTGGTCTTCCTTACATTCCGAGGATTTGGTATATGGTTTAGGCTCCACGTACGCAGGACCCCACAGCTTGCTTACTGGAGGCTTAGGAGCTTAGTCGGTTTAGGGTTGTTAGGGTTTATATGTTTGGCTGATAAGTCTGATAAGTCTCCCCATGCTCAGGCCAACGTAAACCTTACATGCTACTTGGAGGTTCATGAGTAGTTATAAGTAGGGTTGTAAGTAGGGCAACTATACTTTTCACCCATATTAGGGGACTTATAACCCACTTACAACTACCCATGAACCTCCAAGTATACTGCAAGTTCCCTGACCCAAAACCCCAAAACCCTGACAGTAGAAGCCCGAAGCCCTAAACGAGGAACCTTACACCCCGAAGCGCTGACCTCGCAGCCCTAAACCCTACTTTGAGGTTCGTGGGTAGTTATAAATGGGCTCATAGGTCCCCAAACAAGGGTTATAAGTATAGTTACCCTAGTTCCAACCCTACTTCTAACTAACTACCCATGAACCTCCAAGTAGGCCCTAGACCCTATACCCTTATAGAATCCCTATAGATCCCTTCAAAGGGACCCTTAAAGGAACCCGAAGACTCTAGTAAACCGATCTAGTAGCCCTTCCTGTTAAGAGCAATGTAGCCCTAAACCCTCAACCCTAAACCCATGCAACCCTAAACCCCTATAAACCCATGTAGCCTTCCTGTGGAGAGCTTGCTGCTTCCCTTTCTCTGCCCGGAGGTGGCCGAGAGGACGCTCTTCTTTTGGAATACCGATGCTTGGCTGTTAAGGTTTAGGGTTTAAGGTTTAGGGTTTACGGTTCAGGGTTTAGGGCTTAGGGTTTAGGGTTGAGGCTTTGGTTTTGGAAGGTATAGCCTAGGCTCTAGAGCTTCTTCAAGGTCGAGGGGTTGTCTGTCTTAGCATTGAAGGCCTCGTCAGCACTCGACACTGAAGAGCAAGTCCTGCAGCAGTCGTTCGCCCGAAGATACTGAAAATTGAGCCTTGCAGCTTGGGCAGAGCTCCACAAGAGTTAACTGCGGGTTTAGGTTTTTGGGTTTAGAGTTTTCGATTCGGGATTTGGCGTCTAGGACATACGATTGTTCTATTTAGGGTTTGGGGTTTTGGCTTTGACGGCTTGCTGGTTGGTTGCCCATGCCGACGCCGAGCAAAAAGCCAAACCTTGGAGCAAAAATCCTGAACCTTACATGGGAGGTCCGAAAAATAGGGGGTACCTTATTTGGGGTCCTTATAATAAGGATCCTACTATTTACGGGACTATACTAGGGTCCCCTATTTTCAGAAACTCCCACATTGAAGGTTGAAGATTTCAGGTTCAAAGGTGCGTGCAGCGTTCACAAAACCCAAACCCTAACGCGTCGCTTCTCGCTGAGGATTACATCGTCAAGCTGATCAACGCGAACCGCCAGGTGTCTGTCATGGCTTTCAAGTTTACTCGCTTCGTAGGCTCCAGTTGCCGGAATAGTGGGTTTAGGGTTTAGGGAATCAAATACTGTAGCCAGCAACCTACACTTTAGGTATCTAGGGCCTTGGGGACATCCAGAATTTTCAGCATCTGCAGATGAAGCCAGAGGGCTAGGGATTAATGTATCATGAGCCTACATTAGACTAGCAGAAACAGCTGACAAAAGGAGCAGGCATCACGCTTTTACGCGGAGAGAGGACTTCGAGGTATCAGCATTGCATGCCCTGGAGCTGAACTAGAACAGAAGCTAAGAAACGTACAGATGTTCGAGCTTATAGGTTGTGGCTTAGAGCAATTGTTGAGACTATCGTCCTTCCTGGCGGATGTTGCGGATCACTAACAGTCACTAACTTGGGATGACCATTGTCACCGTGATCCTGGGGTTGCTGGCAACTTCTCCAGCTGTTTTTGGAAGGGCCGTCGTATGTCGGGTCTCAGGCTCAGGGTCGTTTAGGGTTTAGGGTTTCGGGCTTAGGGTTTAGGGTTTGGGGCTTAGGGTTTCAGAGTTCACGCGAGAAGCAACATCACGGGTACCATAGGTTTGGGGGCACTCTGCACACACGCAGCAGGACTTGTCTGCTGGTTTTGGTCAGCGCCGTGTCTTCCTCATACTAAATAAGCATTAAACTGTTGGCCGTGTTCAGCAAACTTGGGCCTTCCTCATGACGTCAGAGTTCCTACGCTGGTTTCCGACATGACCTCAGAAGATCCCTTAACTCCCTGTCGCATCTGCACCTCTCCAGCAGAGTATGCCACCCTCAGCTCCGATTCTATCCCAAAAGGAGCGGGAAGAATTACTGCAACAGTATCACCTTATTGTCCCCTCCTAACTATGCTATTTCATATACAGCAAAATTGATCAGATTCATGATTTTGGCCACTGTATTTTAGATTTCGTGCCACACGGCTCATCGACCCAGAGTCCGCTGAAAGGAGCTGTTCCCGATCATCATCGGTGCCCTCTACAAAAACTCGAAACAGCACTGGAACAGCGCGGCGCGGAACTCAGAGATATGGCTGCGTTTCCATGATGCATCCCCGACGCAAACGTACCTTCATCCCGGGTACTAAACTCGCGTAGCTCAACATATACATGTCCATATAATCAACAGAAACCACTCCAGGTTCTAGTCGTGGTCCTGCTTAGAGGATATGTCAGAAAAGTAGTGACAGGCTCGCTACAGACAATAACAATAACACGGGTAGTAGAACCAGTCGTCGTCGACTGAGCACAAGTAGGTCAGAAGCAGAACTGGGAAATCGGGAGACTGCTGGCGGTGATCTTATTACGGTTATCAGGTCTATGATTTCGATGAACAAAGGGAAGAACTTGGTGATGATGCGTACTGTTGCTGCTTTTGCTGTTGCTTTTGCTCTTGCTGTCGTTGTTGCTCTTGCTCTTGCTCTTGCTCTTGCTCTTGCTCTTGCTCTTGCTCCTGCTCCTGCTCCTGCTCCTGCTCTTGCTGCTGCTGCTGCTGCTGGCGTTGTTGTTGTTGTTGTTGTTGTTGTTGTTGTTGTTGTTGTTGTTGTTGTTGTTGTTGTTGTTGTTGTTGTTGTTGTTGTTGTTGTTCTTGTTCTTGTTCTTGTTCTTGTTCTTGTTCTTGTTCTTGTTCTTGTTATTGTTCTTGTTCTTGTTCTTGTTCTTGTTCTTGTTCTTGTTCTTCTTCTTGTTGGTGTTTGCTGTTCGGACTTCGTCCGAGACTTTGGACGTCTGAGGTTCATGGATTGACATTCAACGTGCTGAAGCTGCTGATGGAGGTGGCTCTGACCTGGCTGTTACATTATACCGTACACTTCTCTTTTGCCGTATCTACTTTTTTAGTTTTCTATACTATATTACCCCAAATTTTGCGCCTGTAGACAGTAAATTTCCTTACATCGTATCTTGCCTTTATCAAGTGCTACTCCGCCTGCTACTATCTGCTTTCGGTACATTATGTTGGGCTTGGGGCTGCGCTTCCTTCTCGCTCATATCTAGAAAACTCCGCGGAGTGATCGTTTCATGTTGAGAGCCTCCACAAGGCTCTCCAGCTTTCACTTGCATTCCGCTTTGAGTCTAGGCTGGTGGGTTTAGGGTTGATTAGCAAGCATTGCTGAGAGGGTGCCTATTGTTGATGCTACTGCGACGGCTACTGCTACTGTCACGGCTGCTTCTACGAATTGCTGCTTCTGCTGCTACGACAACTGCTACTACTAAGCTGCTCCTGCTGCTGCTGCTGCTGCTGCTAACTGCTAACTGGCGACTGCTAACTGCTAATTGCTAACCGCTACTGCTACTTCCCGCTGCTGCTACCGCTGCTACTGCCACCACTATTGCTCCTATCTAGCCCGCTTCAAGCATGTTCCACCGCCTTTCACCAGAGTGCCGACGCCATCGCCACCAGGACGACGACCTTAAACTGAAACCCTGGGCCGTGAAACTTGAAAGCCTTGAGCCCGAAATCCTAAACCGTGAACCATAAAGCCCTAGGCTCTAAACCTTCTAAACCCAAGAGACCCTAAATCCTAAAGCCCCAAAGCCTGAACCCCGAAAGCCCTCATAGCTTACAGCTTCTCAGGCAGACCCCCAGCTCTTCGACGAGTGCTCGGCTAAGCATCGCGCTGACGAAGAGGAGGAAGGTCGACGCGAGCAGGACCTGGGTTGCTGAAGGTTTTCGCGACACTAAGTTTAGGGCTTAGGGTCAAGGAGACTACACCCAAGCCCCTATACCCGAAAAGCACTAAACCTTTGATTGTTTTTGCAGTTTCTGAGTCTTTGTGTCGCTCGGGGAGAGTGTTCAGGGTTTCAACGCATCGTGTCGACTCTATGACTGAAGGGTTTTGTTTTTTTTGTGTTTGCGGTTTACGGTTTAAAGGTCGGGTTAATATATTCGGCGGCCATACTACTATAACTATAACTATAGTAAGGAACCCCCAAAGCAGTATGGGTAACTATTGAGGCCCCTACATTAACATTGCCGGACCTTAAGGCTCTAGGGTATCGGGTCTACTTCGGACGTTAAGGCATCAGACTCTTCTCCCGCTGCGGCTTGCAGGTTCTGGGCTGATGCACTACAGGTTTAGGGGTTTAGGGGTTTAGGGTTTAGGGTTTAGGGTTTAGGGGTTTAGGGTTTAGGGGTTTAGGGTTTAGGGTTTAGGGTTTAGTTTAGGATCGGGTCCCTTTCTAAACAGGGTGCCGCAAAAGGGACCCGAATGCAGAGAACCACCCACATGTCAGGGAGCCACAGCCAAGGCCATGACCTCGAGGCTGTGTTGTAAAAACGGTAGCCAGGCCTTAGTCGTACACAGCTCTACTCTCAGAAGTCATTCAACACAAGAGCTCTGCACTACAGGCGTCTGCACGATTGCAACAGGGATCTGTTATCCTCGAACCCGAGACCCCAACTCCGCAATCCTCAACCGCAACCCCTGAAACCCATATTCTATAAGGGTACTATAATATAGGGGCCTTAATGATTAGAATAGGCTTTTGGTGCCCACTTTTCTGTAAGTCTTATGAGGAACCCCCAAAATCTTTAACCCCAAACCCCATGGATGCTAGAAGAGCATTCTCAGAAGTCTCCCAGGCTCCTTTCTTGAGTCTTGCTCTACGTGGCTCAGCTTACCTCTGGTTAGTAGGGAATGGAAGAATGGTAGTAATAGTAGTTATAATTGTACCCCATTCCTCCATTCCCTACTAACCAAAGGTAAGTAAACCCTAAACCTGGTAGCTGAAGGGACTCTGGGTCGCCCCCCTGGCCCTACTGGGTTTCTTTAAGGGTCTATAGGGAATCTACAAGGGTATAGGGTTTAGGGTCTACTTGGAGGTTCATGGGTAGTGATAAGTAGGCTTATATGTAGGGTAACTGTACTTATAACCCATATTAGGGGACTTCTATCCCCAGTTATAACTACCCATGAACCTCCAAGTACAGATCCTAAACTCGAGACTTTTCCTCAGGAGCGCACGCGAAAATGGCAAGTTCTCCAAGAGATGCATGATGCGAAAGTGAAAGTCTAGGCTTTCGGGGACTGTCGGCGGTTCTAGGAAGGCTTCACGCTATGTTTGCTTTAGGCCTTGGGTTGGAGTGCTTGATGGTCCCTGGAACCTGTACTCCTGAACAAGAAGGTTTGTTCAATCTCGAGTTGGGGTGGTGCCGGGGGCCCGACTTGCGGACGAAAATGGCAGAAGGAGGTCAGCAGAAAGAGCACAGTATGGTTTAGCCCAGCCATAGGCATTTGTCGCCTGAGTGGTCCGCACACCTCGATAAGTCGGGTGCCGAAATCTGTTGCCTACTCTGGCACCATATCAAGGGCGGTGTTTCACAGCACGCTGCACAGACCGGCTTGTGCGTAATACCTTGCCCATCTACCAGTTGGGTGCCAAGAAGATTTGGGCAGACATCATAATGCTGTTGTCAGAGCTTGGGGTGCAGCAGTACTCTTTGTCACATGTTCTACCTGCCTCCTAGTGATTCCTCTTGCAGTATGTTTACTGTCAGGACGCTGTGGTCGTGAAAGCCCAAACATTCCGAATCTTCGAAATGGTGACACGGCACGCGCGAATGCATCAGTGACCTTAGATGTTCGGGACTGCTCTTGTGTCAAAACAGCGCTGCCGTTCCTTCGGCATGACCGTGTTCTAGTTCTCGGACTTGGCATTTCAGATATTTCAGGAGTAGCAGGGATTGGAAATTTAGGCTTGGTTTTCGCAAATTCTGGCAGCACTCTCTTTGATGAAAAGGTTTTTCAATGTTTAATAATGAATGAACCAAAGCGGCGACGAATGCTGCATGTACAATCAACACCGTAACTTCCGGACTCCGGACCCTACACTTAAAACCCACAGACCCTAAACCTATGAGTCCCAACCCTGATAATGCAGCACCTGCGTACAGAGGCCAAGGGTTGGTTGCTATTCAGCGTTTAGGGTCTCGGGTTCGATGTTGGGCCATTGTTTCGTGACGTGCCCACTCCATCCAGCGGTCTTCGCCATCTGTGCTTTAAGCCTCGCTCCGTGGTGCGCTGGCTAAACTCACGAACCCTGAGGTTTTCCCGCCGCTTCACAGCATGTTGGGCGGGGGGCTTTTGCATCTCAGTCTAGGTCTACAAGCTCAGAAGATGTCTCAACCCCAAACCCTACACCCTACACCCTGAACAAACCCTGCATCCTAACCCGCACTAGTAACCCAGAGCCTTACACCCTATAAGCCCCATAAACACCCAAACCCAAACCCTGCACTCTACCGGAAAGCATAAGCCTGGAACGTGAGATCAAGTGAGATCTGCACGTCAGCAGCTTGCCTTCTGCTTTAAAGGTGCGGAGCCCCGGGCAGTACTTGGGGTGTATGGGCAGTTAATTGGGGTTATACGTCCCCTAGTATGGGTTATAAGTATAGTTACCCTACTTATAACCTACTTATATTAGCTACCCATGAACCTCCAAGTACTCAGGATTCAGGTGTTAGGGGTTTCTCGTTCAGCAGCTCTAAGGCGCTGGGGCTTCACAGCGCTTTGTTGTAGCGGCCTTATTCCTACCCAATTTTACGGTTCGGCGGGTTACGGCTTAAGGCTTAAATGCTTTCGTTAGGGTTACGGTTCAGTTCTGCCTGCGTACTTGGGCCCATGGACCTGGGGGTTCGTGATGGTTTGTGGCTTTCTATTGGGTGTGCCTGCTGGGAGGTTCATGGGTAGTTAGAAGTAGAGCTATGAGTATGGTAACTATACGTATAACTCTTTATTAGGGCACTTGTACCCCCACTTATAACTACCCATGAGCCTCCAAGTGCTTTCCAGAATTTCATTCCGCCGCTTGGAGGGTTCGGGGTAATGAGAACCATGTGCTCCGCAAAAGAACTAAACCCCAGACCTCAAGCCTATAGGCTGGCCATAGTAGCTGCAGCAACGGTTCATGCCGTGCCATGCGTAAACCCTTATAAAAACTTCAGACTAGACTCTACATTGCTGTAAACGGCGGCGAATAGCAGCATCTGCGTCTCGAACAGAGGCAAGGCTTATGATCAATACCTTTGCGGTGAGGTTGGCATAAAGAGAGGCTGCGTATGGAAAGCTGGGCAGTGCATTTGCGGAAACGGCGGGCAGTACTCCAAGTCAAGCCACAAGTGCTGGGCGGCTCCGTCCACAACCGCTGCGCCAGTTGCTGCACAACCCTTGCAGGAAGGCAATGACAGCGTGTGCGTTTCCAACTCGGGTCAGCCTTACACCGAGTACTATTGCGACTCGGTGGGAAAGAGCCGGGGCTGCATCTGGAAGGACAACCAATGTGTCTGTGCAAATGGCGGCTGCTTGGATCCAAAAATACTTTCACTCCGTCTTAACAGGGCTAGGATCCCCCGTAACCCAACAAACTTTAAGCAAGGGCATCAACTTTTTCATGTAGTGTATACTTGGAGCCACCCAGGATACTATGCGAAATCCAGCCATTACTGCTGGCCCCCGGAATCGCCGACGCGCTCGCCAACTCCACGGCCAAACCCGCCCTCGCCGGCTGCACCGCCACGGACTCACAACGTCCTCGACTTCGTGGTCTCTCGGCTTAAACCCTTCTTCACTCCCCACAGCAGGAAAGCCCTGAGCCATTGTAAACCCTTCTACACCGGTGGAGCTTGAAGTCCAAGTATGCCAGGCATACACAACACTTTTGGGTTTGGGGTTTGGGGGTTAGCGTGATTAGAAACACCCGCATACAGCCGAAAAGCCCTGACGGCCGAACAACCCCATCACGCATAAGAGTCCCCTCAAGCGCCGTGGGACTCAACCGAAACCTGGCTACTTAGGTCGCCTGGCTACCCTCATCACGTTGGCTCCGGGTTCATCGACGCCTTCATTGGCATGTGCTGCCTATGTGCTTCGCTGCTGTTACTATCCGGGGTTTGGGGGCGGTCCGGGGTGCTGGCTCGCTTTGGGACTGCCGTTTACAATAAACCCTACTTGGAGGTTCATGGGTGGTTTTAAGTAGGGTTATAAGTACGGTAACTATACTTATAATCCAAATTAGGGGACTTATAACCCCATCTATGAGTCCCCATGAACCTCCAAGTCTAGCCAAAAGACCTTTACCCCCAAACCCAGTGAGCCCTCAGAGCCCTCAGCCGGTTTTTCAGTCTTTGCTCTCGCAGCCCTTGCTCCCTTATCCCCTCGAGCCCCAAGTCCCCTAGATCTGTTGAATCTTGAGACCTTAAACGCCAAAACCTAATTACCCAACCCTTAAGCCCTATATTAGCCTTAATCAGACCGTTAACATATTCCGAGAACTCTGAACCGAGGTGCCCTTCCGTGCACCAGACAGCACGCGCGCAGGTGGATCCCACGAAGGCCTGCGCTCATGGGCTCGTCACAGCAAGCCAGGCAGGCCATGCTGGAGAATGGAGGTGGGGTCTTTGGGTTATAATTAAGGCTTTAGGGTTGAAGGTTTACAAGGCCTATAGGGTTCAGATGGTTTGTATAGGGTTCGGGGTTTCGGGTTTATATATAGCGTTTCAGGGTTCGGCGTTTAGGGTGTATACGACTTTTTCCTCTTTTGTCCCATAGGTGGGGCTTGCACGAAAGTCTGGACCACTTCGGGCCCCATGAACTATACAGAACTTGCGATTGCTCAGTCTTCCGAGCTTTTGGTTTAGGGTTTACGGATGTCGAGCTCCGAGACCCTCCGCCGCGCAAAACCATGACCGTCCAAGCTGTAGGATTTCCTTCTTCGACAGCCATGTCACTGCGAGATAAGAATTCGGAATTCTCATGAAGTCTGGGTTTTGCGATCTTGGGGCAGTGTTCGGGATGAAGTTGAAAAGGCATCAAAATCTGGAAGCGCACTGTTGCCCGAAACCCAAGCCCTCAGCAACCTCACACTGCGTCAAAGGTCCGGACGGCCATGTCGAGGTGGCCCGACACCAGCCGCACTTGCAGCTCGAGGCTCCGGAAGCCGTGTGATGCCGGGCAGTAATGACAACCTCGCCTGGAGCCCGATTCGCCTGCAGAAATTGGGGTCGGTGTGCCCGCAGGTATGTATGGCTGAGGGCCAGTCTAGGTGAATAAGGGCTCCGGGTCGGAATCTCCGTGTGACCCTTGCCTGCTGTGTGCGGGTGAGAACTTTTCGTCTCGACAGCAGCGATGCGTGCCCTGTGGAGTGCGAAAAAGCTTCACCAAGAGTTGATGCCCTTGACCCGACACCGTTGAACCTTAAACCTCTAACAAACCCTTCAACCCAACCCGAAGTGTCCAACGCTGCTCTTCAGGGTTCCCTCGAACCCGAAGGCAGCTTCGCTGCACAGGTCTGCATAGGGCAGTTGCTTGTTGCTACGAGTGGCCGGTAAGCAAAGCCCATGCCTCAGCAGCCCTTAATAGCCTTAATATTACACTGCTGCAAACTCGAGGGCTAGTATGTCCGAAGCCCTAAGCACGCAGCCGTGCAGGTACCGCAGGTGGTCTGCGAGGAGCGTCCGGCGGTGGTAGAGCAGGGGCGACGTCCAAGCGTTGGGCTTGAAGGTTGAGGGTTTGTTGGTCTCGCGGGCAATTAAACTGGACCGAATCAGTGACGAAATGCTCCAAAACGACAGGCACGGAGCGCTTGCGGGAGATATGCTGTCAACGCTTACATCGTAAACCATTCTGAGGCAGTATTCCGTGCAGAAGTGGGGGGGTGGGGCCTGTGTGAAGTACCTTCGTGAAAGGGCTGAGGGTTGAGTTTCGTGGGTGTTGAGTCGGGGCAAGGGGCTGACAGGGGGTGCTAAAAGGCTGTTACCCTCACGGTCCATGTACCTAAATAGTATATACATTGGCCTTAAAGTAGTCCCTATATAGGTACACTGGGGCCAAAGTATATACTATTTGGGTACATGGACCCTGAGGGTTAATGAAGGCTATTGGGCTCAGGATGCCAGGCTTGAGGGCTGAAGGTTGGAAGTCCAAAGGTTTTACGGGCCTCGGGGTTTGGGGTGTATTGGGCTAGCAATTAGAGTAGGCCCTTATTCCCTTTTTAGGGTTTAGGTTCCCTTATAACCCCCCTTTAAACCAAAAAGGGCACCCCCTTTTTATTCCCAGGTTGCTCTTGGGTCTAGCAGGGGTTAGGAGGGTTGGGTTTAGGGCTTTAGGAGTTTGGGGGTTTAGGGTTATCGTGTTGGGATGTGCTCACGGCTTTAGGGTGGACGATTCAGGTGCAAGGCTTAGAGTTCGGTGCCAGTGTTCTGAGGGCTGCAGGCCGAGGCCCTTATTGAGGATGATGCTTGGGGTGGTGTGCATTCACGTTTTTCGTGTCGGCGAGTCGTGACCTCGTTGCTTTTTCCTGGCACTCAAGGAGAGGCCTCAGTGATTTCAATCCCGTGCCTATAAACAAGCACCCTCTCAGCCACACTCACTTAAACTCCAACTTCCGAGCCTTTAAGCACCACCAGTCCGCGACCAGGTCGCGACTTTCACGCCCGTGTCGGCGTGATCAATACACCTGAACCCCAAATCATAGAGTCCACACAAAACAAAACCTACGCCTACGCCCTTCGAAGAAGAGTTTTCGGCTTGTAGGTCAGAGTGGCAGTCCTGAGATGTCCTGATGTATTGAGTACGTAGGCCCAGGGACCTCCGTAAGCCTTATAAACCAAACAGCCTCAGCCCCAAATAGCTGCGGAGTGCCTGGGTGCTACAAGATGGTTCAGAACTTGAGAAGCAGTCGCAGGTGTGATATCGAGTTCGGAATAGCTGCACCTTTACAGTCCCATAGAGTGATAAATCGCAGATCCCAAAACCCTATTCCAATTATGATGGTCCTTATGTTAAGTCTGGGGTAACAACAAATTGAGTCATATAAAAATGTGCATAATATGCAGCATGCTCACAAACATCATAGTTGTCGCAATCTGACAGTAGCCTATAGTAGTCGCAACAGTCATAGTCACAAACATACGTCAACTTGTTAAGCGAATTCTCGTGACAGCAGCGGCAAACATAAGTAATTATCCTTTTTAATAACGTCAATGACAATAAGACAGCGAGTAATGCTCTAACGCCAAGAATAGTTTCCAAAGGTGAAGATGACCATAAGATGCTTTCTCCAGAGCTGTGCTTCGATGGCTATTGGACGGCGCTGAAGTGTTGCAATGATGCTGACCCTCTCTGGATGCAGAAGTGCTACTCGGTAGGGTTTGGGGTTTCGGTTTAGTGTGTAAGGCTTGTATCCTTTTTATCTCAAAGCTGAACCAATAGTTCCCTAGGAAACTGAACAGTAAGGCTGGACGGGGGAAGGGCGGCACATGGCGAGTTGCTGTCACGGACGGGCATTGCAAGCTCGAGATCACCTGCAGAATAAGCTGAGGCGAGTCAAGTTGTCTCAGGGCCCTTGTGCTGCATCTTTCGACTTGTCCGATTTCAGCAACATGGGGATGCTGGTTTCGGCAACGAAATGGGTAGTGACTGATGCAGATCTCCGTGCACGAGAATCATTTCAGTTTGGGCATCGCCAGATTCCGGATCGATGTTCTCAGGTAGCACAGCAGGAGGATGACGAGTCAGCAGCGGTTCGCTTATGGGATATGCTCGGCCGTGGGCGCAGCGCACGCCTCCTGAATTTCGGGGCTGGTAGCTGGAGCGATCCTCTGTGGGCGATTGCGCTGCAGCGGAATGCAACAGGCCTTTTCGTTGACCCAACGGGCCCGCCTAAAGAGTTGCGGTCACGGGCAGGCATACACTTTGTCAGTGATTTTGTTCGGCCTGATAATGTTCGCAAGCTGCTGCGCGGCGCGGGTTTCAGAGGGAGACCAGGATCGCCTATGCCTATTGACTTCATGAAGGTGGACGTAGACTCATGCGACTGTGTGCTTGCATCAATCGCATTGCGCTTCGTTCGGCCCAGCGTCATTATCATGGAGCTAAACTGGAGCTTGCCTCCACCTCTGAGGTTCGTGCGCCAGTGCCATGCTGACTGGAGTCGAAAATGGTCTTCTTGGAGCTCTGTTGGGTTCCCACTCTCGACACATGGTTGTTCACTGTCGGGTGCCCTCGCCGAATTGGCGCAATTTGGGTACTCTTTATTTCGGTTGGCAGGCAAATTCAATGCCTTCTTCGTTCATCGTGACGTTGCTGATTTGTTGGGCGGGGCTGATGTCGACGAGGTCTTCTGCTTTAACCAAGTGTGGCAGGACAGCTCCATCGTTCGCTACCTACATTGGAAACTCAGCCACGAGTGGCGTACAGGTTCAGTGAGCGATGCGTTGCGTCATGCTTGGGGCAATTTCACATGCTATGACTGGGTCTTCGACATATCCCACATACCTTTTACACTGGCTGTTTGAGTTCTTTGCAGAAGGAGTCAAGCGCGGATGTGCTGGGCAGCAGGCCCTTGATCGATGACTTGAGGGCAGACCGCCACAACAGTCCGAAAGCCCTCTACTATAGGGGCCTCAATAATTACCTATACTATTTTGGGGTTCCTTTTCATAAATAATGGGCCCCCAAAACCCTATTCTAATTATTAAGGCCCTATATTACCCGCCATTTCGAACATTGCATTCGGGGGTCTTTGATTACATGGACTCCGATGGAGGCAAATTCGGAAATATCATAGTGCAGGTCACCCCACAATTCACACAGTGACTTTTGGTTTTGATAATGTGTTTTTGCCCTTCAGGCGTGGACCTTGTCTTTGAACAAGGTGGTTCAGAACCTCCTACTTGTACCGCTGCTCCTACTGTCCTACTGCTTCATTTCCGTCAACAGCAGTACAACAACAACTATTGCTGCTGCTACTACTACTACTACCACCACCACTACTGCTCCTCCTAGTACTTGTGCTAGTACTACTGCGACTGCAACTATTCTTAAATCTCTGTCAAAGTACCACCTCCAGTGACCTCCAGTACCACACGCCTACCCTAAACCCTAAACCCTAAACCCTCTCGGGCTTGCTTTCCCTGAACCAGTACATTTTCGGCCTTCAGGTTGCTGGGCTTTCGGTTTTAGGGTTTCAATTCGGGGGCTGGTCTCGGGTTGAGAAGGTTTAGGGTTTAGGGTTTAAGGTTTAGGGTTTAGGGTTTACGGTTTATAGGGTTTAAGGTTTATAAGGGTTTAGAGAGACTTTTCGGCTTTAAGGGTCCAAGGGCTCCCTCGAACCCTGCAGCCTACGACATACGCCATGTGCCGCCTACAGCGCACATTGCTACCACAGTCCCAAGCCTACTATAGGGCTTTGAATACTTGCCAATTAAAGTTACAGCATAATGGGCCCTAAAACCCTTTTCTAAATGTTAAGACCCCTATACTATGTTCCTGTTTGGCTTCTGCAATCCCGACACCTTGCCGCCCAAACCGGAGACTGCACAGGAGAGCGCGCCTGCGAAAGCGGTAACTTCTCCAATAGAAGCAGAAAAAGTCAAGGCGTTCGGGAAGTTTCGTTGTCTCAAGGCATAGTTTACACAGTTTTTGCTTTAGGACCGTAGGATGTGGATTGCGAGCGCGTGCTCCTAAACAGCGCTAGTGCTCATTGTGGAGTTGGGGCAGCCCCTGGCACCTCGCAGAACGCAGGCAGAAGGAGTGGTGGTCTAGTTTCTTGGACTTCACGTCATCATCCTCAGTGTGCAAGTAGGCAACACTCTTCGCGTCAGGAAGTTGTGTAAATGTGACTCGTCATGTATAGGTTTCTTTCCTCCTGAAGTAGCCTCACCGACGACGGCCTGCAGCAGCAGAAGTGGCAACGGAACCAACAGCAACGCGATAACAGTTGAGCATTTGCGGCATTTACACTTGCCGACACATGCAAGTCAGAGCGGTCATGATTGGAACGAACTTTATCAGGGTTCGTTGTGGGGATTTGGATTCAGGATTTAGCGCGCCTATACCTATAGGTTCATGCTACATATAACTTACAACCCATGTTCGGGGACTTAGAACCCCCCTTATAACTACCCAGGAACCTCCAAGTAGTAGGGCGATTTCAGGGTATGCAGCACAGGATACGGAGGGACCCAACGATGGGCAGAACTTTCTGAAGATTATCAAACACGAGTTCATCCGAATTAATCGTATGAGGGCCTTAGGCGCCACCTTCTAACGATAGTCTTTATATCATGTTTCTCACGATACTACGGTTGATGATATAAATCCTGCATTACCCATAATAAGGAATATACCATAATTCCCATATATTCCCTATTATGGGGTCATGCAGGATTTATATCATCAACCGTATAATGAGGCTGCGAAGCCCTATTCTAGTTACTACGATACCTGAAGCCCTGAACTCCAAACCGTATGCCCACAGGCTCCATAGTTCCTTTTGGGGTTACCTTATAGGACCCTAAATGTGAGCCACAAAAAGGAACTACAATGGAGCCCCATGGGGCCTACCTAAACCCTAAGCTCCGAAATCCTAAACCCTCAACCAGCAAACCCCTAAACCCTAAACCCCAAATCCCGAACCCTAAACCCTATAAATCCTAAGCCCTCAACCAGTAAACCCCTAAACCCCAAACCCTATAAATGGAGCCTATGGACACACCCTGAAGATCCCTGAACCCAGGGCTCCGCATGCTCTCAGAGTTTAGGGTTTAGAGTTTAGGGGCTAGGTTTAGGGCTTTCAGTGTTTAAGGCTTATAGGGTTTAGAGGGCTTAGAGGGTTTTTTTTAGGGTTAGGGGTGCAGGGTTTAAGGGTTTAGGGCTTTAGGTGTTAAGGTTTATAGGGTTTAGAGGGTCGAGGGGTTTTCTGGCATCTCGCTCCTTCCTGCACTGCTGGGGCTCAAGAACCCTCGGATTCCCTTGGGTTCACAGCGAAGGCGGCTGTGACACAAAGTCTAGTCCTTCAGGGGAAGTTCGAAGAGTCCAGGGCGTAGGAATACAGGGTTATAGTGGCCTAATGAGTCGTATCTCAGTCAAAGGGCTCAGCTTCTTTTTCTGTTCCTGACCTTGTCTTGGGGACGTTGGACACTGTGCAGAAAAACCTGCACCTGAGCAGCTTGCTTTAATCAACAAGGCCAGGGCCTTGGCTTCTCCGAAGGGTTTCTGATAGAGGGCTTGAAATGTTGTAATGGCTACTAATGCTGCTTGTGGTATGAGTATTCGTACTGAGGGGCTTGATTGTTTTAGTATCTACTCTAGTAGGTACTAGTAGCATCAGTATTTGCACTAGTATTAGTACTAGTACTTGCAGCATTGCCCACTTATAGTCCTTATAACTTTATGATACCGATGAAAAAACACCTGCAACAACCTGGTTCCGTGAAGTGTATGTTTGGGGTTTTTAGGATTTTGATTTTTTGGAGTTGAGGGTTAAGGGTATTTTCACCGGCTTGGGTTTGGAGTGTAGGGATGAGGGTGGGTTCAGGGATTGAGGGGTTTTGAAATTCTCACACAGGGTACTTGGACCTTTGTTTAGAAATTTGCGAGCTTTAGGCCCACATTGAGTGCCACTGAATCTGCAGGCTGGTCCGCAAGTGACCCTAAACCCCAAACCTCAACAGCCATTTCGAACCCTCATAGAACCCTGGTCGGGCACACGGAGCATGCCCGGAGGGCTACGACTCACAATTGTTTCCTACCCCCCTCCGACGAATCAATGTATACTCTGAACCCTCAACCCCCACCCCCAAAACCCTCAAACTCTAAAGCTTACAGCGCACCATAAATCTCAAACGTCATGGTACTTGTGGGACAAGGCTGCCTTGGGAAAGGGCTGCCCAAATGCTACCAGTCGCTATACTATATACTCGAGCTGAATGTACCACCATGCTACTACACATCCCAGCTCCTGCGGTGTGATGTGTCCGTAAGAATAGTCTCTGCTACATGTTCAGGCATTTTCTTTCATGGTTGTGGAAACCCTGTAAAGGCCTTTTTGAGTCATGATTGCAACCAGGCCTCCGATCTGACGTCATGAAGCTTATCCAGACAGTTAAGCGCCGGATGGGTGCGGGGCCTACAGGAAGCAGGGGGTTCTATTTTGTAGGGGTCACCTGACAGCTTGAAGCGTGAACCCCCAAACTGGAGGTTCGCAGGGGGTTGTTATGCACGAGGCTTTCATGCAAGTTGGGTCAGCCGGGAAGCGGACGGAGTTTGTAGCTGGCAGCCTGGCAGCTTGCAGATGCTAAGTTTGCCTCTGCAGCGAGTGAGGTTCGAAGACGGTTTCGGAAGCGCAGAATTGGCGAGAAAGATCCCTCAATATCTGAAGCATGGTCACAGTTGGGATAGTATAGGACGTGAAGGAGTTGTTGTCGACAAAAAAAGTTGAATGCTCGGAGCAATCTGTAGATGTTTGGAGTCTCGGCAGGACAAGTTGTGTCTGTGTCTGCATCCTGTGGCTGTCCAGGCAACGATGACAAAAAGAGCTCCACCACCCGAACCGGTGCTACCGGAAGCGGAAGCGGCCCTTTGGAAGAAGCTTAGTTCTCGACAAGTTCGCTTCGGGTTTGGGGCCTGCAGACCCCTTAGTTCGCCATCTTGGATCCTTGGTTTACGGTTTACGGAGCTTAGGGTGTGCTATAGGCTATAGATCCCTGCTAGACCCCTGAAAAACTCCCTAGAGGTCCCTTCTAATTCCGTGCAGAGAAGAACCCTTAATATAGGTGCCTAAATAATTGCCAAGACCATTTTTGGGGGGTTCCTTACTATATTTATAGTAGAATGGGCCCCACCCTTAAAAAGGAACCCGTAGGTTCACAGCAGCAGGCCCAGGCACACAGCCCGGGATCCTTCCCAAACTCGCGACTGAAGGGTTTATTTTGGGGGCTGGAATACTTTCAGTAATTCATATGATCCCCTCATTATTGTGGTCCTTGTTGTAGTTGTAACTTTTGGCTTCTATGGTTATGAAGGCAAATGTATCCAGTGCTGTTGTACTTGAGAGCTGCTCCGGCCTAGGGCTTGCAGCGTTAAGAGGTATTCTGGTCTGGACGAGGCCATTTCGCGCGACATTCCTCTTGTTGTGAACTGCTGTACAGTTTCGCGAAATTTTTCGAGGCTTCCGCCGAAAGAGTGTGCATGTGTAAGTAGGTTGGACGCGCAAGTGTCTACGTGTCCGCCCTTGTAAGTAGCAGAAGCGCTATGGCGCTATGTCCCAATGCCTTTTGGTGTCGGAATCTATGACCTTGGTGCTGACGACGGCTGTCTCTCTTTGTTGCACCGCAGAACTGGAACCGCTGATGCTGCAGCAGATTGTTCGTCTTAAATGAGTTCATTCACCGTACACCGCGAATCCCTGCCAAGACCCTGAATCGAGTTTTTTCGAGGGTTCCTTTTTTGATTTCCTTATACAAGTCCTTCAAAAGGTAGGTTCTTTAGGACCCAAGCTCTAAACCCACTATAG